AAATAATTTTTTCATGTTTCCGCTGCAAAGATGTTGATTATCTTCTAATTAAATTCAAACCAACGGGAGAATTTAATTTTGAAGAGTAGTTATATGTCTTTTAAGTTAATTTATGAGTTTTATGTATTAATTCTATTTTCTGCCCAATGGTGATGTAGAATTAATACAGAAGCATCTTGAAAGTTTTATTTTTTTAACCGACAAGATCACTCGGCTGCATGCCAATGGGCTGCAATGCTGGGGTATGTGAATGAAAAGACTTGAGTCAAGCCAGTTTAGGTTAGTTTTTTGTTAGTTTACTGATTTTCTGATTAAATTGAAACCAACGGGAAGATTTAATTGAAAAATAAAGTATAAGTGAATGTTTTAGTCATCATGACTAATTTTTTCGTTACAGTAATTTGTATATAGATTTATCCCGCATGGGGAGAAGTTTTGTGATGACTCATGTTTTTGTATCCCGCATAGCGAGAGAAGTTTGGATAGCTCTTATGATATCCTAATATTGACCATGGCACAATAGAAATGCACCATCATGGTCAATACTAATCAAAGAACAAGAAAAAGATGCAAGCGTGACTTGCAAAAGTACAGTTATTAAAAGACCTCGTCGAGTTCTTGAAGTGGAATGAGAAAAGTGTACTCCTATACGGATCAAGAAATAACTTTATTTGCATGGCATAATCATGTGAATGAAGTAAGTCATAAGTGTCTCCTCGTTCATAGTTTTCTGAATAGTTCTCGAAATTATGACAGTATAGTTCTTGCGATATTTCGAGGGGGAGAATTGTGAGATGAATTAATAGTAAGAATTAAGATCAATTAAGAAACTACTATTCATTAAGAGTGAGAAAAAGATGTTGATGAATATGTACTCTTCATTAAGAGTGAGATACAGATTTTGTAAGAAACTGAGTGAGATAAAGATTTTGATGAATGTGACCTTCGATCATAACAACGATATCCCTAAGCAGAGAAACAACTAAATTTCTAGATTTTTTAAAGTTCCGAGAGGAAGATAGCGTAGTCACCATCAAAGATATTAAAACGGTGCTTAAAACGCCATATAAGGTTTTAACAGATTGAACCTAAATAAGAAATTAGAAGATACAATATCTTTATAAAAGATGGGATGATCTGAGGGAGCACGGTATGTAGGACCTATGACTTAAAGAGAAGTGGGACTGTGTGCCCACTTCAGTGATTCAAAACAACGAATTTCTCGATACCTGTTGATGTTGTATGACTTATACAACACCTGTTGTTGACTCTTCGAAGAAGATGAATAATGGAAACAAGGATCTTGTAATATAGGAGCCTGTAGAATCAATTGTCTCTTGGCAATGAAGAGCAATAACAGCCCCACATGAAAGTGATAGTAGCTGAGGCCCCAGAAGGTCTAAAATAATTAGTAAACCAGTTTTTTTATGACTATGAAGTCTATGTTAGAGAACAAATTCAAATGGAGGGTGATCCCACCTCATTTGAAGAAGCCATGAGAAACGTTTACTCGTTTGAACGACAAGAAGCTATGGAAGTTAAAATGAATTTAATGAATACCAACGATGTTTGAGACTTAGAAGAAATTCCTAATAGAGCCAAGACAGTAGGCTATGAAAGGGTCTACAAGACAAAATATGACTCCAAAGGAAATATGGAAAGATATAAAGCATGACTTATAGCAAAAGACTTTACGCAAAGAAAATGAATAGATTACGATGAGAGTTTTCCCTCCAGTCTCATGCAGGGATTCTTTTAGAATCATAATGGTGTTATTGGCATATTATGATTTAGAATTACATCAAATGGATGTAAAGACGGCATTTCTCAACTGGGATTTGTATGAAAATATTTACATGGCACAACCCAAAGGTTTTGTCATGAAAGAAAAAAGAACGTATGGGATGCCGCCTATAGAAATCCATTTATGGGTTAAAATAAGTCTCTAGACAGTAGTATTTGAAGTTGATGAAACGATAAGAAAGTTTGGGTTTAAAGACAATGAGAAAGACAATAGCGTTTATGCGAAGTTCAAGAATAGAATTTTTTTCCGCATCCTGTGTATAGATGACATCCTACTCACTAGTAGTGATGTTAATCTGTCATTGGAGAAGAAGAAGTTTTTGTTCTCAAGTTTCAATATGAATGATCTTGGTGAGACGTCATTGGTTCTAGGAATTAAAATTCACGGGGATAGAAGAAAATAGGGTATTAGGACTATCACAAAGGCATACTTAGAAAAGATTCTAAAGAAATAAAGTATGCATGCGAGTAAATCTACGCCTGCTCCCATAGTCAAGGGTAATAGATTTGGGAACTTTAAATGTTCTAGGAACCGATATGAGATCGATCATATGAACATAGTTCCATATGTTTCAGCTGTTGGAAGTTTGATGAGTGTACAAGTACAAGTAAAAACTTACTCTGACGTAGTTTACGTATCCGGGATATTTTGGCAGAAGTCTAGTCTAGATATAGATCACTGAAATAGAGTTGAGAATGTCTTGCAATTTTGTAAAGTATCATAGGCATCATGCTGAGTAAAAAAGAACAAGTACTCTCAAATAGTTGAGGATACAAATATTAAGTCTTGACGAGATGTGTAGTGAAATTCACAATAGTTGCTAACACTCGCAGTTGGAGTATTATTGTGGAAAAGCTCCAAAGAAATAGTTGTGGTGTCATCAGTAATGCATACCATAGTATAGCTTGACATGAGGCTTAAGGAACAGGCAAAAAAAGGTTAAGAAAATTAGTACCCGGATTTAACAATGGTAGTCAACAGCAATAACCATTTAAAGTAGTTAACTCCTAAGACAACATGTCAAGTGTGCTGCTAAACACATTGACATTGCTGCTAAACACATTGACATTGAGTTATATGTTGTAAAGGAGAAAATTCATAATTATTTTGAAAGCATTGAGCATATGAGTACCAAGCAAGTACTTGCGGATCCGCTTACCAAAGGCTAACCACCCAGTGCATTCAGAGAACACACAATCGACATGGGTTTACGGGAAAGCCTATGATTTCTGGATACTAAGGGCCTAGTTGAGAATCCGTTTCAAAACAGAGAGGTGCATTGTAGCTGTTTAATCTAGTGGCAACTGACCGTGACAATGAGGCACGCTCTATGCACTGATATGTGATGGAATGAGAAAAAGATAAAGTAAGTTGAGTTTAAGTCATAAAGTGAGATTAAGGGGAGAATGTTAGGATGATCTCCACCAGTTAGCCCAATGACCAATTGGGCCCTTAATTCGTGCCCTGATCGGGGGCGCTCAGCCGGTTCTCCTGTATGATGAGCTCCCATCACGCAGCGCTATAAAAGGACGGTGGGAGCTGTGGCACAAGACACAAGGTTCACCGCAGTCGCCAGCCCCTCACCAATATCCAATCCCTAAACCGATCGATAGGGGCGTTGTAAGTGACGGAAAGCTCCATCGCCTTCACCGTCGCCACAGCACCGCGCCTGCACTGCTGCTACCTACGATGACCTAGCGGGCCCGTCACGGCTACCTCTACTCCGACCCACTGTGGCTATTACATCACCAACGCCTCGGCCGCGACACGGTTTAGTGAGGTACATCAGCAAATCATCCCATCTAAGTCAAGTTTTACCCACTGATATATGCCTAGAGGTCCAGTAAATTCTATCGTCTTGATCTTGAGTCCTGAGTAACAATGAAGTGCTGCTACTTTGGAAAGTGAAGTGTATAGTTGCATACCTGAGGAAACAACGAACGTGTAGATCGTGTTGCAAGCCCTACACTACATCCGTTGCCGCAGGATGTCCTGCATGCAAAAAAAAAAAAAAAAAAAAAAACAGTAGAAACGTGCCAGAGAGAAGGATCACGGCGTGGCTGCATTGTTTGGATGGAGCGGGGCAGACTTGCTTAAGTACATCTAGATTGGAACCACAGCGCCGCGTTAGGTATTGTCCCGTCTCGGCACGTCGCCAGCTGATTGACGACGTACGGCGCGCATCATCTCCAGTTCTCCACCTGCTGCGAGACAACGATCGAGGTCGAAGACAGAAACCCGATGGATCAAACGCGCAGGAATCAGATAGCAAATGACGAATCGTCTCCGGAGAGGAATGTTGGGTACGGCGTGGAAACGAACCTGTGTTACCGGCTCGTCAGTAGCCACCGCCGATCGAGGTCGCCATGGCGGCCGCCCAGAGCACGAAACGTTTTTGGATCTATACACTCTCGATTGCATTGGTGTCGTTCGGGCTGGGGGCAGCTGAGGCCGTATATAATATGGCGTGTGGCATTGTGGGCAGAGAGTGGAAGACTAGCATCGTATTTGTTTGATCGTATCAGTCATATTTATCAATCATGATACAGTGTTTTTCTTAACCATATTTATCAATCATGATACAGTGTTTTTCTCTTCTAATAAAACAGCATCAGCCAGCTTATAAAGCACGCAACGATCATCGACTCGACTCCGTCTCAGTACCACCGTGGTAGGCGCGGAGCGGAACGGCGAGAGTGACGGTGGGCACGAGGAGATCGCGTCGCGCCGTCGCGCGCGCCCGCGTCGCACGGCTTCCGGGTAATTCTGTTATGACTAACGGCTTGCGAGGACTCTTCTGCTAGGCTCCTGGGCCTTTTGGGCCAAATCGGGGCACGGCAGAAAATCACCCGGCCAACCAAACCAAAAAAAAATCATGCTTTTTTTAGCAAACATTTTTTCATGCTTTCCTCCTTTTTCTTTTTTTCTTTTCGCTAAAAAAACCAAACTTTTCATGCCCGATTGACAATAACCGCAGTTACATATATTGTCCAAACTCTGCAGAACCACGCATCCGTTACACGCTCGCATCGTACTATGCTCGTGCCGCTACGCTTCTGGGGCAGCTCATGGTTCCACACATGATGACATGAATATATGATAATCCAGGACTACAAGAGACTGAGCAGGACTTGACTTCATCCTACGCAGGTTCAGTAACAGTAACAGCATAGGAATATACATTTCTACAGAGCATTCATCGATGTCCATTGAGACCGGGAGCAACAACCAGATACTGGTACAGGCAGCAGAACACACCACAGCTGAACGGCACTTTAGGGCTCAGGCGACACCGCGACAGCAAACTGGAAGGTCCTGCGGTTCTCTGGGAGTGTGGATTCTCAACTCGAGGTTCAGGCCTGGAAGGACAAGAACACATCGTCAGATTTATTAGCACTGAGCTAAAAACTTATTCATGTGAAGTAATTACGGTAAATAATCACGCGGAGACAAAAAGTTGTGTCCAACTTGATTGACACAAGCATGTTCAGTGGCAGAGAGGAGACAACAGTGCCACAAGTATATGGCACAGGCTGAAACGGCCAAACATGACAGAAGGCATCTATAACTCATGAGTTATAATCAAGGATATATGTCTTCACAAAGTAACTCCCTTTCATCGCTCTTGTCATCCTAACATATCCTCCCAAACAGTTCATCCAAAGCATCAGAATATTTAAAGGCCATAAAAAGAAACAAGGATGGGAAAATTATCCTCAAGACAAATTAGCAAAACACAACACTGCAAGATTAGCATGTTAACAGACATTTCGGTGAGATGCAACAGAATTTGCAACACGGCAGACAATAATAGGGCTAATCCCCATCCCCAGTCCTCAAAGAGCAACTCACAAGACTACGCCGAATATCTGTTGTTCCAAGATCCCACGATAGGGAAATGGGACCAGATATCCATGCCAAATTGCCAATACTACTCAGCCGGCATTTTTTATGAACGCAACAACAGTGATTTGGACTCTGGAGCAGGATGCATAGTGGACTAGGAAAGGCAGTAGGAGTTGCTGTTCGGGCACAGTACTACAGTAGAAACAAAATTACTAAGGTTTTGGGTATTCACTTAACTTTGTTAGGTCTAGGTGGTTTTCATCTTAGTATTCAGCTCAAGGATTTCCTATTCTTGGCAGATCAATAGCTCAAGGAATACTAAAGCGCACTAAATAGTAGTCAGTGCCTTTATTGCTGCAAATAAAAATCCAAATAGAACAAGGAATTACTCTAGATCACAGTTCCTAACAAGAAAATTAAAATGTGATGAATTCTGTTATGTCTTATGGTTTGACTGCTTGGACATTTGGATATTTCCAAAATATTACCCCTATCGCGGCCACGGGGCTATCCTCCTACTTAGCCCTAAAACTGAGGCATCATGTTGCATATTAAATTTTGTTAGGTAACAGTAAAACATACAACATGAGAAGCAAACCAACTGTTTCCATGAGTACGAAATATCAAGTATTAAACAAAATATTTTAAAAGTTATGTGTGTGCTACTGACTGTCAGTTTCACTAAAGCACAGGATACTAAAGGTGTCCCTTTTCTCTCAGAATTGTTTTCAGCCCAAATGAATTTGATTTCCAAACTAAAAGCTCGGTGCCCATGTTTGCAGACAAGAAATGAAGGAAATTCACATAACATATTCCTACCGCTAATGAAAGATACAATAAAAAAAAAGGGCAGACCTAGTGCCGGAGGCTCCCACATGAGTGGGGTCTGGGGAAAATGACAAAAAAATCCAACAGTGAAAATGACAAAAAAAAACCCTATCAAGGTCACATTTACAGAGCCGGACATTTTCAACACTTTGCAACTCAAAGGAGTGTCTTCTTCATCTAGTACTACAGAACAACGCATGAGTGAGATCATTAAAGCTATGTTGTCTTAATGTAGAATGAACAGACTGGGACAGACCTAGTCACTGAGATATAATATTCTTTCGACTGAAACATAAGAAAATATCTAAAATTATATAATTGAAACAGACAACAAATCATCCAATATTGTTACGTTAGATGCCAAAGCCCAAGTGAAACTACATATTTTCAGTACCCCTGCAAGAGCCAAGCCAGCCGCCGCTACAGCCTCCCTCCCCCTCCTTTGGTTTAAGCACCAACAGATGGTATCCCCTCTTTCTCCGCTACTATCTAACGGTTACTTTAGATGCCAAAAGCCCAAGAGAAACTACATATTTTCGGTACCTATTGTCCTCAAGAGCCAAGCCAACCACTAAAGCCTATAGGTCCCTCCCTCTCCTTTGGTTTCAGCACCAACAGAAGGTATCCACTCTTTATCCCTATCTAACTTGGAACATGATCAGAGAAGTTCAACCAATGGAACCTACTAGCGGATGTTAAGCTTATGGCCCATAGCTTACCTTATCTCCAAAATATAGCCACTGCCAAGTAGCTCTAGGTGAGAAGATCACGTTTTAAGTAAGATTTGAAATTCCTATATGGGAGGTCACGCCATGAATTCATGGCACGTGCCATTTGGCAGTACAGTTAATAAGGACAACTGGTGGCTGGCTCCTGTTGGCTCAATTGTGCAGCACCCATGAACAGTGGCGGAGCTCGTCAATTTTGACGCCTAGGGCCACTATCAAAGCATACATACTGTCTGCGCCGAATCAAGATATCACCCGCACCAGGTCTAATACCGATAGATAACAAAAGTAGCTTATAAATACATAGGTTGAGATGAATATCTCAATTTCAAACTTAAATCCACAACATAATAGATGGAAACATGAAAGTGGATAAAAAAATCCACTCGCGCTCGGTCATCTAGGGTGCGTTTGGTTGGAGAGCGTGGGAGAACGGAATCGTTCCATCCCTAGTTGTAGGGATGGAATGGCTCTATTCTTGAGTTTGGTTGGAAGGATATAATGGTTCTATTTTTGCGTTAGGTTGGAGGGATAGGATGGATGGATAACAAATCAGTTGACACCGTTAGTAATAGGCCCACATGTCATATATGGATCTAACGCCAATTCCTATGCATCTTCATCTGTAGTCCTTTTAAATCTAGGAGCTAATTTCAGATTGCAATGCCATTCACCATGAAAATACTGATGCATCCACCATATCTGCGCCAAGTTAAGTTGCACTGTTTCCAATGTCTGAACTTAACAGTTGAGTAGCAAACAATGAAAAAGGGTTTTGTCTCCTTTCATGTTGAAGCTAACAAAATGAGGCCATGAGAGGCAGATGATGAACTTCTGATGCATAAGCCAATGCCAACAGATGGAATAAGAATAATAAAGTGTTTGATCCATGGACCGTAATAGCCTCCCAATAGCAGTTTTATCATAGCCAAATATACAGTCAAATGCATTGATAATCAAAAGAACCATTTAGCTCAACAAATATTTACACAAAACTCATTAAAAAAGAACACCTTCAAGAATTCTGAATTTTTAAACTTGAAATGGGCATCCCTTGGTCTCTTTAGTTAATACTCCTCCATATTAGATTCTTATATTAGAAACCAAGTTTAGTATAAGCATTACTGCATTAGAGCTACCATATGTGTCATCCTTGTAAATGATGCGACTGATTCTAGGAAACCCAAAGACTAAGCTTTGGAACTCTGTGGTAATTGCCTAAGGGTAATTTAATTGATTGGTAAAGAAGAACTAATGGCTTGATCAGAAGTAATTAAGTCAGTGAAAAAGGACTAGAAACACAAGCAAGGATTGATCTTTCTGTTATTAAATGATGTGACTCATGCGAACTAAGTCGACAAGTTATTTTGTAGGATACCTAAGATGGAAAAGAATGTCAACATTTATATGCCCAAATACATCCATAATCTATTTTCACAACCCCCTCCCCCCAACCCCCCCCCGAATACGCAGGAGAGATCTTCACAACCTTCCATAAACAACAAATGATAAGTTCTGTCGCATTTAAACTCTCAAGCAGGCCCTCTGGAACCACATAACCAAGCCAAAAAAAAAAAGCGAACAACATCACATAATAATTTATATGCATCATTGGACTTGTGAGAATGCTCACAGCAAATCAACAACTGTAGGTAAAGCTAAAAGAGTGCTCAAGCTAAAACTAGACCTCCAATTTCAAGTGTTCAGGATGTGAAGGTCAAACTAGATCTGCAAGTCTCAGTGTGAAATCCAAGCACCAAGAACTAACTGATCAAACTCCTAAGGCAAATCTCTATGTATCAGAACCGCAGAACTACTTAAACATGAAAGAACCTGACTGTCAGAGATCAAAATTCAGCTAAAATTTCTATCTTACGATTTCATCAATCAAGTCAAGTAAACAAAAAGTGGGACTAATTCCCATCCATCGCCAAACTGATTCGATACCAGACGAGCAACTTAAATAAGAGTTAATTAAGACGTAAAAATACCTGCGCAACGGGGAGCAGGCCAAGCTCTCCGATCACCCCAGCCGCGCCGCGCAGCTGCGCGCCGACGCTGGAACCGCAGGTGGGCACCTCGTCGAACATCGAGGCCGATAGCGACTCCGAGATGAAGCCGGCCTGGAACTCGATGGTGCCCTGGTCGGGGTGCGCGACCATCCCCGTGACGTAGACCCAGAGAAAGAGCTTCTTGGCCTGGACGCCGGAGAGGTCCGAGATGGCGCCCTCGGAGAGCTTGCCGGTTATGGTCCTCTCGTAGTAGACGAGGTGGGAGCCGAAGTGGACGTAGCAGGTGCTGGCGAGGTGGATCTCGAAGGCGCCCGTGGCCTCGTCGAAGCTGTAGGAGGCCACGGAGTCCGGGATGAGCCCCTTCGGCAGGCCGTACTTGGGGAGCAGGTCGCTCGCCGCGCCGTTGAGCGATGCGACGGACGCCGTGACCGCCGCCGCGGCGGCGGCGAAGAAGAAGAGGAGGATGAGGCGGGGCAGCGGAGACATGGCCGTTGCGGGTTTGGGAATTTTCTGTGTTTTCCTTGTTCTCGCTTGTGTCTTGCGTTTTGGGATGTGTAAGGACTGACTATGGCTTTAAAGTGCTTCTTGACTTGTGGATTTTAGGGGATTTTTTTTATCTTTAGAGACAAGCTATTTGGATTTTGGGCCAGTACAGTTTGTTTATATTATTAAAGGAAGTAGTTAGGATTAGATACGACGATGACGATCTCTCAAAATATGTTCACACGCCACATCGTGATTATATCAAGCAAAATCATAAGGTCGTTGTACATTTGTACTGCCATGTTATCATTATTTTCCCTCTTGTACTTTTAGATTTGTAGGAGTTGTATATAACAGATAATAAAAAAATGTGGAGACATGTTACGATTTTCCATGGGACGTTAAAACTCTGTTGATCTGGCTGACCAAAATTTAGCGACATTCCTTGTTCGCCCCAAAAGAAATTCATGTCTTGTTCGCAGTTGCATTAACACTGGTTTGAGGTTCCCTGTGAAAGAAAGAAAAAACGAGTCCATGGATGGGAACTGATCGACGTCGACCAGCTTACAATGTTCGGCACGAGGTCGCCTTCTAGAAGTAGCGGGCCATTAGCCCACTACGTCGTTGTCATTTCAGCAGGAGGGACCTCTCCTAATCTGTTCTTCACCGGCCGATTCAATTGATTTCAGCCATCAATCAGCTCAAGATATATTCTTGACGAATAAAACCAAGATAGAAGTATTGAAGGTGACAGCGATCAGTTAGCAGGAGTAGTTTTTGGTCTTGATCGCTAATCCTGTCCTCTGGTACATTGTTTGCAACGCGCATAAATTTTATAATATTATTAGTTTATTATCCGTATGAACCGGTAATAACTCTAAGTTTAAGATAGTAAGAATTCTAAATTCAGTTGAAACAAAAATACTTTAATGTATTCTCACAAAAACATACTTAAATGTAATATACATGGCGTATTTCCTTTGTTACGAAATATGACAAAACCCCTCCTTGCATCTAAATAAATTTATGAAGGTACGATTGGAACATTTATATTGCAACATTAATAAGTTTTCATATTCTCCCTAGCAAAGTTGCTCACGCGATATTTTTCATGATTTGCTTTCGCAAGTGCCCCCTTATTCTTTTTTAGGCATTATATGAATTCCACACTTAAAAAAATCCACGCATCAAATAGGAGATATAAATTCTCTCTTCAGCTCCTTTTCTTATTTCCTTCTACAAACTGAACAAAGGGGATTGGGACTAGAAGTCAAATTACCACTTTAACTCCATCCGTCAACTCACCCCACTAATTCACATGCCCCTTTTTATGCAATTGCCGAACACACCGCCAATGTACACGACGTCAGTGTTTCAACACTTCGATAGGGGGCATCCGTGACTCTGCAAGCTACCCTAACACCATCCGGGGATACCAATCTTTGACGATCGGGCATGTTCGCTTGAACTTATCAACCGGCTTATCAGCTAGAATCTACAGTATTTTTATCTCACAACAAAACAGCTTCAGCTGGCTTATCAGTCGACTTTAATACCAGCCGAACAGGCCGATATCGAGGCTAGTGCGACTATACACATGTCGTCATGCGAGCCTCAGTCAATACGACGACCCACCCACCACACATTTTCCCTTTTTCAGTGCACGGTTTGGTCCATTGCTTCCTTCCAAAGCATCGTTATGCTGACCATGAATTATTATAGTCCTGATCATGCTTCCAAAATGTAACAATTATTAAACAGATGGAAGATGCAATCGATAAAACTTCTCCAGGGTTTTAAATGTTATTGAGGCTCGGATATTAGCAGACACGTCGAAAAAGTATTCAAAAGATGATAATACTGGCGCTACCTGCAAAACGAACATTTCAGTATTACGATAATTTCTTCGCATGCGATCAACAATACGATTTCACTCAGTCTACGAATGCTGATCTCATCGCCGACAGTTAACAACCGACGCTATAGAGTAAGCAGCAAGAAAACATGCTCCCAATCAACGTGTAAACAAAAACTAGTACTTTGACGTTAACGCACGATCAGACTGCCACAACCACCATTTTCTGTTTGACTTAGAGGTATATATGCCCTAGATTGATATGATATAGGACTGGAGAAACACCGGACAAACCCGTATCATTTTTAATCAGGTTTGGCATAACTAATCAAACCTCAAATTCTTAGCTTTTTTTTATGATGAAGTGCTACTATCATCGCTGACGCACCCAAAACGTGTTCCATTTCGCATTGCCAACACAAATGACAAATAGACTATGAGGTTAAGGTAAGATGAGCAGGCTGGCGCTACCACTTCCCATGCGATTTTGTAGAAGCTGGATAGATTCAGAACTACACGCTGAAATGATGTTTTCAAAATTCGTCAAGCAACCACTCATCAGACTATTTGCCCGGTCCTTTGCTATAACGTTTAGATTAAAAAGGCTCGAAAGGGATAGAGCTTAGGATAATTCTTTGGTTTAGAGGTACCAGCTGAACTCACAGCATTTCATCCAAACTTGTCCAATACAGAAATCAAAACATTACCAAGAAAACACCAAAATCATTAGAGCCAATTCTAGGTGTCTCTCGAAGCAAACAAGGCCTACTACTGCCTGATCTCAGCCTTCCTCTTCTGCCACAGCCTGTCCAATGAGCTGTCAGCATCACCCTGTCAAAACAAAATGTGAAATCAGAACCCAGCAATATAGACTATTCATGTATGTAGTCCAGTTTTTCGCTTTGTCCTGACTTCTCTAACATTGACTAAGTAGAAAAATATTGTAACATCTAAAATACCAAAGGACCGGGCAAACAAGGCATATTTCATGGTGAATTTAATGAAACTAATTTGATGTTGTACATGTGCATGTTTCCATAAACTTGGTCAAGGAAAAGAAATTTGTCATAGGACAAAGTTAAAAAGATCTAGATTCTGGAACGAAGGGAGTAGGAACTGAAATAGAATGCTTCCACATCACACCAACAGGACAGAAGAAATCAGCAAAGCCAAAATGCTTGGTACATTATAGCATTCAGTTTAAACTTTAATTATCTAGGATGATATCCAGCAGCTGCTGTGCTAGAATTGGCTGATATAGCAACAAAGGCAAGGCCAAATGGCCTCATCAGGGTTCATGGATAGAGTCTTGACTGATAAAGTATCATATGACTTCATTGCATATTCCGGAGCTTAGTATTTCCTACCATGGCAGCCCGTCACTTGATTTATGGGCACAGTAAAATCAAACAGGTAACTCATGATGTAACTAAAGAGGTGAAATTGATGTTGATCGTTTCCTATATTGATGTATGGTATATTGGCATGCAAGTCCACTGTACCCAACAATACACATGCAATTGAAAGCTGCATATGGATAGCCAGACTGCAACAAGGTTAATTACCTGAGCACGGACAAACCCAGAGAGAGCAAACGTGGTGAAATTGCCAACATACACACCATTCTCATCCAAGTGCCCAATGTTGATCTGCACAGAGGCATGGTCCTTGGCAGTGATGATCCTGTTCGTGGCAGAACTGTAGGAACAAAAAGAAAAACACAGGTCAGCACGAACAATAGTGCGATAACAACGATGTAGTCAAACAAGAGAACTGAAGCAAAACTTACCACTTCCTGGGGACGTAGAGGTCCACCATCTTACCCTCCTCGTTCTGCATGGTGACAACTGGGAGGAACTACCATAACAGCAAACAATCAGGCATTGCAACTTCCATATGTAAGGATAGAAGTAATTCAGGACAAAAAGAGAAGAGTAATTAAGAAGGCTAAACTACTGCCAAATGGCTCCCTTCATCAATGCATCACAAGGCATTACGATCTTCTGCCTCTGGTGATAAGATACAAGTAAGGCTGCTCACTTAGCAATTCAGAATCGCTGTAGTTTCGCAAGGTAGTGCTCCGTAGTTACCACTTACAGACACGGACGGAGCTACGTGGGGGCCAAACTGGGTCCTGGCCCCCCCTTGCTCCGGTTGTATCAATGGAGGTTTGTATGTCGCTGCATGCATGCAATTAATTTTTGTCTCTCTCGTATCATGATTGTTGTTGCTGATGAGTGGATCATAGCTTACAAGTATGTAAATCCGCACATTGTTTATTCTTCTTTGACAGAATTCTAATTGTCCATTGCAGTCTATATAGATAAAACTTGAAAAAACACAGATTTTCCACATAATTCCAACTGTCTATACTACTATTGGTAATACTGTAGCAATGTATCATTGAATTGGCCCACCCTACACGTTCATGCGAGCTCCGCCACTGCTTACAGACTTACCACTTGACTTGAGGAGGATTGAGATGACAGCACAGAGAATTCGTTCCCCCTCTTTTTGCAAATGACGATTATTTTCTCCTCTTATATTTGATGACGGGTAATAACAACTCGTATGTTTGTGGCCCACATGATATGCTCTTTGTTTTATATACTAAGAAGTTTGCTAGTTTGACGACGACTTGATAACATAGTCACAGTAAGACATCCACTAGCCAGTGCTATGATAAGTTGATCAATACGCAATGCCGACGGCAAAATTTATAAAAGAAACAAATGTGCGCGTAGCATTGATATATAATACGTTACGATCTAATGCCTTACTACGTGCGTGGCTAATTGGCTTCACCAAAAACATGCTTCATCCTACCGATTTGGTTCACAAAAGTTCAGAGTTCAAAGCGACTACTCGGAAACTACCAAGTGGAGATCCTAGAGCGAACCATCGCATAGCGATTAGCCGTGCGGGCGCATGCGAACTGGATCAAAAGAGAACGTGATAACGAAAATCTTTGGTGATACTACTCACCTTCAAGATCTCTTCGTCGACCAGCGGCGGCGGAGGGCGACGCAGGAGAACGAAGACAGCGGCGTGACGGTTCTTTTTTTTTTTTTTTTTGCGACTTCGGCGTGACGGTTCACGAGAGGTGGATAAGGAGAGGGCGAGGCCGAGCAGGCGCGTATAAACCCTAGTGTTCGGTTCTGGGGCCACCCACAGCCCAGCACTCGGGCCCCTTTCGATGGGATGGGATCATGGGAGCCCAAAGCACATTTGGATGCTACAGGTCACTGGGCTTTCTCTCTCTCTCTCTTTTTATCATCGCACAGGGCTCTCTTGGCAAACTCGCTCCAATAAATTTTTGAGCCAGTCATCATTAGCTCTTGAAATTCACGCATTGAGGCTACCTGGTTGAGTCCTAATTTTATTATTTTATTGTTTTATTATTGATTTCTATACTTTCTCGGTCCTAAATTAAACCAACTTTCAAATTTAACTAATTTTATAGAAAAAAACACTATATCTATGATGCCAAATTAGTATCATGGATACATCATTAAATATATTTTCATAATATACAAATATTTGGTGTCATGGATGTTATTTTTTTATCGGGTACAACTTGAACGCACAAACTCACACACTCTACACTTACACCACACGCACACACGCGTGCGCGTTCGTACACACGCAAAGAAGAGATTGGGAGGCTTTCTGGCCTCCGATGGTGCGGGAGACACACAATACCGAACACACACGCGTGCGTGTATCCTAAATTTTTCTGAATTTTTTTCAAAAAAATATGCGACACCAGGATTTGAACCATAGTGGGTAGCGTCCCACTGAATAGCCTTACCACTGGATCACAGAAAAAGTTTGTCAAACTTAAAATAATTTAACTCAGGATGATTCTAGACGTTGATTTATTTCGAGACATGGATGTATTATTAGGACAAACACGACATACAGTTCTTTGTCGTATGTTACTATGTCAAGTTGGATTCCCAACGAACGATCCACCGAGGTCACATATTCCTCCACTGGATCATACGAAACACGTTAGTAAGCTGGCCAACAAGTCACCCACCGGATAATTTTACTAGTCGAGTCCATGAGATGCATCGCTGGACAATTCGCCAGAGATCAACCCTGTCGCCCCGTACATGCTATGGTGTGAATTTTTACTTGTTTCAAGTCCGATCTCGATCAATTAACACCTTTGAAATCCATGACTTCAAACCAATTCAAAGGGGCCATTCGCACCATCAACTCGACTTATATTTAGTCACTTCATGTATCTCCATGCTTTCACCTTTGACTCTCTTTGACCCTCTCAAGAGCATCTCCAAGATTCTTTCTTAAAATGACTCTATAAGTCATCATTTCGAGAGACATTTGAATAAAAATCGTTGTCTATATCTTTTCATCCTCTAACAATTTCTTCACATCTTATGCACACTCTAAAGAGCCAGCTCCGCTCATCTTTGGCTGCCGAAAAATCTAGAATAAAGATGACTATATCTAAACATCTATTAAAGAAGCTGTTGGGGAATATATTTTTTTTCCAAAATCTCTATTCTCATCAATTAATAAGGATATAAAGAGACTCTTATAATCACTCTATTAGTACAACCAAAGAAAAACAAAGTCTTGTTACACACTAACAAGGGAATGTAGCTAAAACACAACCTACCTTCGTCTCTCTCTTACGCCATACATAATAGACACCAAACCTTGAGGCCAAGGTCATGTGGTCATTCTCGTTGTGGCTAACTCATTTGCAATTAACTCCCACAGAGCACACGTTAGGTGTTCTGTCAACCACAGAACCTTAATAACTCCACAATAGGGCATGGGTTCCCTGTTAACTCCACAATGAAGGCATAAATGCGTTCAATCTGTAATGGGATCAGCCTCTGCGCATTCAAAAACCTCTCTACCACCATTCCGATAAACTTCCAAATTATCATATTAAAAAACCTCTACCACCATTCCGAGAAACTTCCAAATTGTCATATGAAGAGCCATTTGAATTTCCAAATTATCATATGAAGAGCCATTTGAATGAAGCTGTTGGAGGAGGGTTTTGCACCAAACTCTCTATTCCTAAGCCCCCCTTTACCAAAATTCCGAGAATCTTTTGAAGTTACCAACTAAGGATCACGCAAATTGCACACGATAATTGGGGCCGAGAGCCCTAGACCGTACGAAGCTTCCAAAGTTACCAACTCAGCATCATGCAAGTTGTACACGATATTTTGGGCCGAGACCACATCTTGTTCCTGTGGAATCTTATAAAATTCCTGCATTCCGAAGGGATCTTTAATGCAAGCCGGCTGGCTGTCAGGTTTCGGGCTAGAGGTGCCACAATCCTATGAAGTTCATATCCTACAACACTGCTCTATAAGTCAAACAGCTTGTATTCACGAACTAAAATGGAACCTCTACAAGTTTCAGTGCGCCTAAACCAACTCGATCATAGGCAAAATTAGTGATATTTACTAAATCTAGAATGTTGGGTAGCAAAGGGAGGCAACCGGAGCTATCCAGCAATGATTTACAGATTTACATGGACCGCAGTCTCCGCCTTTTTTCCCCCAAATTTTCAGAAAGAATCGGCTGTATTAGCACCATGGATCGAACGGGACCAACCAGTGGTCACTGAGTCACTTGCTCCTCTGTTAATGTTACTTGTACGAACTAAGCTCGGACAATGGTCCCGTTCGCTTTGCTGAAAAGCCATGGCTGAAAGTACTGTTCGCTGATTTGTTATGAGAGTAAAACACTGTTCATTCGCTGAAATAGTACGGCTCATAAGACAAGCGAACAGGGCCAATGGAGTTTCGGGCTTTCGGCAGAAGCTGTGATAATTGACAGCGGCTCTGATCTGAAATCTCCAGGAGTCTGGTCCTGATATGGTTACCTCACAGCATCCAAATGACGGTTAGCTGGTTCTTGTAAGCGTTGATTTCAGGCACCCTGAGTCAAAAGAGGCTGATATTTGGTGTAATCTATCCCATTCAACCTAACACAACATAAGATCTGTTCCGGCAGCTCTTCAGCTTTATTTCCCTGCAGTTAGAAGCGAGCACAGTAAGTGACCTGACCTACTTTTTCTCGAACAATTTTCTGGGAAAGTACAATCTTGCATAGTAATGAAATTATTGTTTACAATTGGGATACCTGAATAGTCAGCCCAACATCTAGAACACATGCTTTTAGCCTGTCCAAAAATGTTTCAAAACCTTTCCTTGATATGTAGCTAAATCTGTGCATGTCAATGTCGATCTCAAAGTAGTTATCACCCTGCACAGAAGCAAGGATGTTTCAATAATCCCTCAAGCAGTAATCAAAGTTCAAAGTATGTCTACAACAAGATATTTCTATTATTGCATTTATTTATGAGATGGTGGGCTCAATAATGTAGATGAATACTACATAACTACAACAATTTCTAGAAATAAACACAACTAACCAGGTAAAATTCATGCTGTGGTCTAGAAAGGACAGGCTTCTCGTTATACGCATGCATTAACTTCCTCTCCGCTGCACTCAAAGGAAGATCCTCCAGATTAGCCACCCGGCCAAGTATCTTCAGCCGCTCTCGGAATGGTATAGTGGTTTCCATTGGAAATCCTTTTATCTTCTCTACATGATCATCAACCAGCCTCTGTCGGGGAGGAAAAGAAGTATTATTGACTGATAATAAATAGAACTGAAATATAACTACCTTTCTACTCCATATCTATGGGAATTGCCAAAGCTGACAATTAACGTTATCATCAATCACATAACCATATAAATTAACTTGACAGTATAAAAGAACCAGTCTACATATCCTAAACCGATTTCAATAACTGAAACTGCATTTTTACATGCAAAAAATGCCTTATCTTTTCTCTTGTGAAACAGTCAATGCTACAGAAGTGCTATGCATCATTTCTTTGATCAACTATATGCCTAAGGAGTTCAACCTTAGGAGGCTAGGACTCTTTACTTCAAAGAATTGCAGGAGCCCAAAGGGGACTTCAGCTGCAGTCCACCCTAAAGTTACGACCCTGAATAGGCCTTGACCCTGAAAATGTATGTCTCTGAACTAATAGTTCAGAGCTCAGATGCAGGGGGGAAGTTCAAGATTCTACATAACCTATAACAAATCAATCATCGAACCCTGCAATAAATATTCTCCACTATGGTTAAGCATCACCTGCATGAATTGATATAAAGTCTATATATGGACTACTATTATTTATTTCATCTAGCTAGACATTTTTTGTTCCAAGGCTTTCACTGCTTCCAAAATAAAAAGAAAAATGATTCAAATACTCATTGACTAAAAGTACATACCTGTATATATATAAAAAGTACAAAAAATAGTAACAGATATTACTGAAAAAATATATTAAAGACCAGTGAAGCTCTTACTCTAATACTATCAATGAATGAAGGTGGAAGCTCTTTGGAGTAACCATCAGAAAGCCTAAAGTACAAAACAAAGCTCATCCCTTCCCCGTCAGTTTCATTCTGAAATAATGAAGCTGGATATAATGGGACCTGAGAAAAGTATACAAAATGTCAATACACTAACTGAATAATGGCAAGAGCATAAAACTCACAGAAAAATACTGAAATCCATGTTACAGTAACTATTTCTTAAAACAAACATTGCTATGGTGGCACACTGTTGAGGCTTACTTCAGGCAGGCAAACATAAATAACATGCTACACAGAGCTCACCGATTGCTTCAGTCCAGCCCTTTGTACTAGTTCACTAAGTTGAACTTATTTGGTACTAAAAATAGGCATCGACTACAGCAAGTACACATCTGAATATGTTTAAAGCAAGTTGACATGTCCACTTCACCACTAAGTGACAAGTGTCTGCAAGTGTAACAATTGGACAAATTGAGCACCAATGAGAAAAAAAAGAAGTGGCGTGAATAAACAGACAAATGCTCCATATCTTTGACGAGTTAGAAAGTCTATGAACAAAAGGGCTGTATACAAAACTTTCACCATGAAACAGTGCATTGTCCTTGGTGTACTTATGACTTACCTGTACATTGACCACCAAAAGAGGTGGGAGCTTGCTGGAGAGTTGAATATCAGGAAGTTGGACAAATCGAGATATATGATTGAGTTTTTGTGGTGATAAGTACACATCAACTCCAAATGGATAATATGCAGCATAATTTGGAGCAAGCTCTTTCTTCTTATCCCTGGAGAAAGTGCATTAGAAACTTAGATCACTCCCATAAAAGCATCCAGGAGTTTCAAATAAGGGGGTGTTTGGTTCCTCCTCCTAAACTTTAGTCGTTGTCCCATCAAATGTTTGGACACATGCATGAAGTATTAAATATAGACTAATTACGAAACTAATTGCACAGTTTGCGACTAATTTGCGAGACGAATCTTTTAAGCCTAATTAGTCTACGATTTGACAATGTTGTGCTACAGTAAACATGTGCTAATGACGGGTTAATTAGGCTTAATAAATTCGTCTCGTGGAGTACTGACGGATTCTGTAATTTATTTTTTTATTAGTATCCGAACACCCCACGCGACACCCTCACGTGACACCTCCTAAATTTTAGTCACGGAATCCAAACACCCCCTAAATTGGTGATGGATATGAACTGATACTGCAAGAACGATATTTACCTAAAATAGTTTGCTCCACGGACTCGGAATGTACCGGGATCAATATGAGACCAACTGTTGAGCATATTTGTTTCCAGCAAGCACAACTGTACTTGAGAACCTGCTAGAGGCCTATCCAGGAAATCCTTCGCAGATACTGAAACAAAATAAAGTGATACTGATAATAAAGGAAAAATGAAAACAATGAATACTGATAATATTTTTTGGAGCTAAAAAACTTAACATGTTAACCTTGACAGATGGTATAAAATTTAATGCAGCTAAAAAACTTACAACAAATCAAGTTACTAGTGCATTACAGTAAATCTTGTAACATAGATTAGCTAGAACTATTTTGTTATATATTTTGGAAATTATTTCACAGACAAAAGCGGTACTCAGGTAGTGACAGAAAATAAAAAGTATATCTAAGTGCCATAAAAGGCATCTGCACTGTGAGTAGTACCACCAGCAAAATCAAGTGCTATTCTCACAAAGCTGTAAAGACCTCATCTTATTCAGATAGAGTGTACAGCTTAGTTTTAGTAACTTTTAAGACATCTCCCTCTCCCATACATTCGTGTTATGTTTCTCCAGACCTCTGCAGACGGCCAATGAGTACAGCTATGGAATCTTAACTTTCCAGAGTGTACCAATGCAACAGTTTTATCAATACAATGCTACTTCGTACCATTAAATGAAAGATTATTGACATGACTGGTGAACCATGCAAGCAATGAAGATAGGAGTATTGTCACTACTCGAAAGCATCAGTTCTCTGTGCCACCTTTTGCCTTTTTCTTTGTTGCTTAATGAACTACCCTATGGACACCAATAGTCCTATGTCATAAAAGAGAGCAAGCAAGTTGCTGGCAAGGTTTCAACTCATCAAACAGAGTATTATGGAAAGTATAAATGTTTGGGAAAATCGGTACAAACTGCAGTTCAGCTTTTGAGAAGGGCGTCTTAACTCTTATTAACTCTTAACCAAATGACTTAAGAAGAAATGCTTACGTAGTGTGGAAGATGGATGAGCTTCCCCTGACTTCTTCTTGAAGGAAAGCTTCAAAGAAGGCATCTTCATTGAATGTGTAGGACTCGAGGAAAGAGTTCTCTTCTTCTCGTTTACCCCAACAGCAGAGGCCCATGGGAGACAATTATTTGGCAGAAGCCCGCAATCGTCCAGTAGCCTACCTCCACCGTGCGTGCTATCAGCACCAGAAACACCCACCGCATCATCATGGCTCATGGACGTCCTCACACCATTCTCCGAGCTTCCCTTTGACAGTTCGCTGGACTTTGGCTTCTTATGGTGCTGCTCGCCTGATTGCGCAGCTCCATTGAAGCTCCCACCGTTGCCGTCTCTCATGCTCAATGCAGCTTCGTTCTCGAAGCCATTCAATGAGAAAGCATCTGCACGACAACAAAGAAGCTCAATCAGTCAAACGGAAAGGCATGTTAAAATGGGGGCGAAAATTCAGCAGGTTCAACTAATCATTGAAAATTATGGTGTGCGGGGGACCTAGCTACAAGGCTACTACGACAGCACTCTTACCATCTTGCACGCTGTGGAAATCGTCTTCGGCATCCGACTCGCTCATCGCCAAGGAATCGTACCAGGCCTCCTCAATGCTCCCGGGCACTGCAGCACGAGATGCCCCCGAAATCACGTCAGGTCATATTGGAGTATCGAGTACGAATTGACGCAACGAACTGCGATGCGTACTGCCCCAGATACTAGCTGCAACCCCACTCTACAGAACAGGGTCGCAAAGCCCCCGGAGCTACGAATTAAAAAAGTGAGTAGCTATTGCTGAACGCACACGATCCCCAGATGCAGTAATTTAATTTAACCCCGAACCGAAGAGCGCGCAATCTCGCGCCCATGGTCCCCCGGAGATCAGAATCCAGACCCCGAAACAAGCAGCGGGCGGAAGGCGCACGGGGGAGGGAGAGAGAGGAGAAAGCAGCCCGTCGGTCCACCCACCGACCCACCTTGGAACGCGGGGTTGCTGTACGTCCGGTGATCGGCGGCAGCGGCGGACGGCGAGCCGGGCACGTCGGCCTCCTGGATGGTCTCCATGGACGCGGCGCGCGACGGCGCCGTCCTCCGCCCCTTCCCTATGCGGCGGCTGCGCCTCCGCCGCGCCCCGCCCCCGCCGCCCGAGCGGCCGCTGGCGTCGCCGGACCGCGGCGTGTGGGGCTTGCCCACGCACGCGCTGGGCCGCGACACGCACGCCCCCATCCCTCCCACCCACCCACCTCCTCCTCGCCCGGGCGACGCGACGCGAGATCGGCGCCCCGGGGGTCACCGGGGTGGTGGATGAAGAGGGCGGTGGCAGTGCGAGGCGGCGTCACGCACGCACGCACGCGGGTGCGGGGCGGGGCGGGGAGGCGATTGGTTGCGTGGGAGGATTTCCAAGAGGGACGGGACGGGACGAGCCGCGAGGCTTGGCGCGGCGGGGCGAGGCGCGGTGCAATGCGAACTTTGTGGTGGAGGTGGGGGGCGGTGGTGGTGGGAGAGAATGAGGTGGAGGAGGTGGTGGCGTGGGCTGGCTGCGGTGCGGCGCGCCTCCGTGTCGTGCTCTGGCTTTCGCAAGTTCGGCTTCCCTTTGGCTTCCCACACCACCACACGAGTGGGGAGGGAGCGCGGCGGTGGGGCTGCGGCTGCGGGGGGTAGGCGTCGTCGGGATCGCGACGCGCATGGACGCGGTCCTTGGTAGGCGGCTGGTCGTTTCGGTCGTGGTGGCTTTCTGGTTGGGTGGACCCCACGGTTTCCTCCCTTCTGGTTGGGGTTGGCACGGGCTAGGGAAACCTGTGACGTGATGCCGTCCGTCGTAGTCGTAGGGGTGTGTGGTTAGACTCACTCCAACGGAGCCGGCGTACCGTGATCCAAATCTAAAATGGATTGTTCACGGTGTTTTATCCGTGTTTTATAAGCTCCAACAGTCCACGCAAATGAGTGACGCATTTTGGGTGTGAGCCGACGCGGGACGCAAATAAGCGTCCTCTCTCCGTCCTTCTACGTCTCCCGCTGACCCCGACGGCACCGATGCGGATGCACGAGCCGAGCGAAGCACCCAGACAACGGCGGCGGCGCTTGCGAGAAAGGCGACGGAGGCGAGGGCAGCGTCCACTGATCCCAACGGCACCGCGCCTCGCCAGATCTCGTCAAACCCTAGAACACGAATCGAAGTCATAGAAGGGACGAATCAGAGAGACAAAAGCAAAATCCCAAAATACAAGAGGAAACGGGAGCACCTGAGACTGCTTTGTGGCAACCGCGGCACCGCCGAGACCCACCGGCACCGAGCACGAGCACCATGAGCGGCCACAGCAGGAGAGAGGGAGAGGGGGAAAGATTAGGACGAATGGCCTGCAAGGCCATGCCTCTGCCCTACCCTACCCTGCGCCGGCCGCGCCACGGCCCGGTGGTAGATCGAGACGGAGGGAGAGGGAGAGGAGAGGGGGGACGCCACACAAGCCCACCACCGCCATGCATGGCCACACCTCATGGGAGGGCGACCAACAGGCAGGGCCGTCACGTTGCGCCCAAGACACCGTGAGAGGGGAAGAGAGAGAGAGGCGGCGCGCCACACCGAGCCGGGCTTGCCCGCCGCTGGGGCCCACGGCCACGCGCAGCGCAGGGAGGCCGCCACGTTCGGGACCCGCCGCAGCCCCACCACCTCGGGAGAGAGTGAGAGGGAGAGAGATAGGGGAGGTGACGGGAGCAGCGGCGATGTTTTTGGGTCGGCTGTTGAAAGAGCGAAGTTTTTTGATCCATGACCCTTTTACTATGGGCTACTCAATCTATTAGATGTCTCTCGTTTTTAGGCCTGGCCTTTTGGAGACAGTCTTTCAGGTGAGGTTACATTTGAGTTGGCAGTAATGGCAGGGGCAGCAGGGTGTTGTCAGTTGTCACGCTGCCAGGGAACTTACGAGCTTGTTCTGGCATGGTGTGTGTGGACGCGGTCCACGGCGCTGGCGGTTGCCGGTTGGTGTGCTGTGAAGACAGACGCAAGGGAGGCGAGGCAGAAAGCGCCACGGATGCTGCATGCTAAACAAGCAATACTTTTCCTGTCGCCTGGATATGCTTCTATTTCCTAGAAAAAAGGATATGCTATTAGTACTTCGTTTCAAGTATTAATTCTCAAGAAATTTCTATTTTCTAGTATTTACATGTCCTTTGTTTTGTTCAGGGGGGGTGGGGGGAATCAATTCTCAAGAAATTTCTTCGTCTCAATCGTGGTCTACTAGTATGCCCTATGGTCTTTGGATCACCTCACCTGACCTGATCGAACCCATGATTTTCCGATGCCCAGGTGGCGTCACCAAGCACTGCAGCAGCCTATCTTGAACCCGCATCTTCTGTGTTGGAATGGGTACGAATAACCAGACGATATCGCTAGGCCTGTCGCCCTTTGTTGGATTGGTTTGCTTTATAAATCATGGCTTCTAGTTTGACGTGAGAGAGAAATAATGTTTGTTGACTGATAAATCATGACTTATAAACCAAATACAACCAATCGAACATGCTTGATAGGCATTACGTAAGGCCAAACACTGCATAAGGCCATATACTGCATGTTACTACGAGTTACGTACACGATACACCGCATGGCTCAGTTTTGGAACGAAGATGCTGAAATTGGACGTGCTAACACGAGAGAATTTGGACAGTAGCTTTCGATCGGGACAACACAACTTGACTCCGATACGATCCTGCTTTGATTGACACTAACCCGTATTCATTCCACAGAAAATGAAATCGATTCCGACGCTACGTAGCTCTAAATCGCTGGAACAAAAGAACACATCAGTGCCGCGAAATCAAAAGAATCAGATCGTATACTGATACCTTGGCATTAAGAAGAAGAAGAAGAGTATGCTATATACATATCCTGCAAGGAATACAAAAAGGAAAAGTTGATTGGACCGATGCCAGCGCGAAGCAAGAGGAAAGAGAGAAAAGATTCATACTTGAGGTCGAGGGTATAGTAGTTGCATGTGTCAAATCTCGAAACTTCGATTGTGTCTTTCTTCATTCTTATTAGTGATCATCAGATCAGAAATGAAGGGAGTGATCTTAGGAATCTTGATGGGGACAATAAAATTTACGTGACCTTAGAAAACTGGTGAGTACGATGTGAAAAAAATCTCTGACCCATTTAACCTACTGACTGTGACAAACTTGCCCGAGAGGAGAGGTTGCCACCAAAATCATCACGAGAGCGCTAAATAGATCCCGCGTAGCGCGTACGTACGTACGCGTTGCATGGCAGAGCTGCAGACGAGTAGTACTGGGTAGTTTGGGTGGAGCGTGGCTTACTGGGACGTGTACACGTGTCCACGTAGACCGCAGAACTGTTCAAACAAATAAAGGCTCTGTTCGCTTAAAATTATCAGCAGTACTGTTTCAGCAAAATAATAATGTTTTTCTTTCATAACAAATCAGCGCCGCCATTTTTCCAACCAGCCAAACGAGTCGAATAAAAAACTCTTGCTTCTACTATACTCCGTACATCAGAGAGAAGAGAACAGCTGGTCGATTGGATTGCTCGAGCTCGATCGGGAGTCGGATCGGGTCATCCTTTTGAGGCTTGGACTATTTGTCCTGTTCGGCATGACTTATTACTGCTGCTGGGCTGATTTGTAGGGTTGATTTGTTATGAGAGAAAAACATTATTCCATGGCTCAAAAAATAGAGCTGATTCTGGTTGATAAGCTCAAGCGAAAGGACGATTGACTTCTATCGCCAAGTGGAATCCTACTTCCAATAGACGCTGATAAGCCATGGTTGAAAGTATTGTTGGCTGATTTGTTGTGATAAAAAAATACTATTCATTGGCTGAAAAAATATGGCTCATAACCAAACGAACGGGCCTCCTTTGACTTTTGACGTCGTCAACCGACGAGAGCTTATGATTATTGATCATCATCACTCGTGATACGTACAGTACTTACTATAATTTGAGTGTTCACGTGGCTCACCGACAAGATGTACTCCTAGTACTTGCTAGCTCAAAGTCGTCCTACTCCTGCCGCCCTTGGGTTGCAATTTGCAAGAGGGGTCGTCCTCGATGGATCGGCACCGCACCGAACTGCGCTGCGCGATCGCCAACGACGGCAACCTCATGTGACGCGAATCACGCGATCGATCCAGGCTGCTTCAGAAATCAGAACTGGCGCCGCACCGGAACGAGTCACACTTTTCAACCAGATCAGAAAGAAGAAGCCAAGCTATTAATTACTCCACGATTGGCCGTGGCAGCAAAAGGTAAATACTGTTGTACTAGCAGAAGTAAAGAGTTGAGCCCTTTTTTTCGCTGACGTGTCGTCCTTTGTCAGCAGGCCTCACCCTGGGATCCGTCGGCAGCGCCTAAGACCAAAGAGGAAGAGAGCACGCAACGTGAAATTGTCCGGGCTACAATGAGCCTGCGTGTTATATAATGAGAGGCCTAAGTCGAAGTGAGATAAGAGGAGGCAAGGAAGGAGTCGTGAGGGCTATGTAATGAACTACTCTATTGTATTCTGGCTATCACCAACACACTTTCCCTAATATACATCATAGTTTCCTGAGCTTCTTTCCCAAGTCCGGCCGGCCGCCGCCTCGTCGGCTAACATTGGTACCAGAGCCGTCGATCCCCGGGCACCGCGCGTGCTGGAGAACCTCCCACCCGCCCAACCCCACTTCACCCGTCTTCAACGCACCCGCGACGCCATGGATCCCGTGGTCCGCCAGATGTTCGACGATTTCATTCACCGCTTCGACGCTTTTCGCTCCGAGTTCGACTGTCTCGGTGCCCGCTTGGATCGACACTTCACCGAGACGGAGGCCGTTCGCTCCGAGCATGACCCCGCCGTCGACAACCGCCTCGACTCCTTGGAGCAGTTCGCCTCCGCCCAGTACGCTGCCGCCATCGTTGCCGACAATTGGGGTGGCCACTTCTCCGAGCGCATCAGCGAGCTGGAGGAGCGCGTCCACGATCTAGAGATGGTGCGCTACGTCGAGATCCAGGACGAGCGCGACGAGCGGGTCACCACCCTCGAGTCCACAGCGGAGGCGTTCGAAGCCTGGCGTCCCCGGATCGAGAGCTCCCTCTTCACCATTCGCTCGGAGGTGGATCGGTTGTCCAAGCTCTGGGATTGATCCTGCGCTGCTCAAACCGATGGATCTCCCGAGCCCAAAGGTACACTGGAGTGGGTCGCTGGGCGAGCACCTGCCGGAGCAACGATCGACTGGCC